CGAGGTCGGCTGGACAATGACTTGGACAGGCAAAGGGAGAGGAGGACAAGTGGAAGAGGCTCCAGGGCCAGCCCGCGCTGCCCCGGCTGCCGCCGGAGCTGCCTGCTATTCTCCTGTTCTGTGTGGCGGTGTATGGCCGTGGGCCCCGGCATTTACACAGGAGCTAGTGTGCCAGGTGTTGTTCCGAGTCTTTGTCTACATCCGTCATTGCATCATCACATACCCTAAGAGACAGACAGGTGTCCCCGTTTTAGGGATGAAGAAATGGAGAGTTTAGGTGGTTTGTTCAAGGACATGGAATAAATGACAGGACAGCACTGGGTGGGCTGAGTTCAGAGCGTGGTCCTCCTCTCCACTGTGCCGACTGCAGTCCCGCGGCTTGCTCACACCCACCCTCATCCACTCCTGCTCCCTCTGTTTATCTCCCATGCTGGTCTCCACTTTCTCGGGTTTTCCAGTTTGTTCTCCACAAAGTGGCCTGAGCAATCACAGTAAAAGCTTTCCATGCAAGCCGCCTGCTCAGATACCTCCGGGGCTCCCTGCTTCTCAAAGAATGAAGGCCACAGTCCTTACCCTGTATCTTCTCCCAGCCATCTCCAGCCACAATATGCCAGCCACTGTGGCTACCTTTTTTAGAATTGTCTATTTAATTTATTATTTTTAAAATGTGCTATAGAGCATGTGCGCTTACCAGATATAGAGAGAGAAAGTGAGAAAGCAAGCTGCTGGGCCCAGGACTCAAACCATGGTTGACCACATCGGAGACCAGAACTTTAACCACCACACCACCTGCTGGCCCCACAGTGGCCTTATTCAGGCCCTCATGCTCTGTGCCCTTTTCTTCTGGGATGTGGGGGTGTCTCTGCACATGCTGCTACCTGTGCTGGGCAGCTCCTCACCATCCTTCCTCCACGCCCCCTTCCTTAGGTAATGCTCGTCCATCCTTCAGAACTGAACCCCAGCATTTCTTTCATGGCGAAGCCTCACCGCGGTATCAGACAGCGTTCTCCCATGGCGCTCACCTCTTTCACAGCATTCCTAATCTGTAATGATTTACCAGTGGGATTACTTGCCTCAGGTTAAAGAGCGCTTCGTTTATTAACAGCAATATTCAAGCACATTGTCTAGTACGTAATGGTCCTCAATAAATATTTGGAGGATGGCAAGAAAAAGACTTTTACCAGTGTGATTAGATTGAGATGGGAGATCATTCCAGATTACAAAGTGGGCCCTAAATGCAATCACAAAGGTCTTTATAAAAGGGAGACTAGGCCACTCTGTAGTGTAGCAGTTAGGCACTGCACAGTAAGGCAGGTCCCACATAGCAGACTGGGTTCAAGTCCTGACCCCACTGGCAAACAACCAGCGCATACGTGCTTGCCAAGAATATCCTGAAACGATGAATATTTGGAGGGAAAAGGATTGTGGCATGACCAGGCCTCTCTAGGGGCTCTTTCCTACACAAGCACACTCACTTGTGTCTTCTGATATTAAAAAAAAAAAAATGTGTTTTCTGATATTAAAAAAAAAAAAAAAAAAGGTGGAAGCAGCAGGAGATTTAACCACCTACCCATGAGGAGGCCATGTTGGTGTGATGCAGCCACAAGCCAAGAGACACCTGGGGGGCACAGGAGTTGGAAGAGGCAAGACAGGCTTCTCTCCTAGAGCCTCCAGATGAAGCACAGAATTTAGACTCCAGCTGTAAGGGAATATGTGTGGTTGGAATCAGCAGGTGGCATGGCTGGTAAAACCCTGGACACTCCCACATGGCCGACCACAGTTTGAGTCCCGGACCTGGTGGCTTGCTTTCTCACTTTCCTTCTCTCTCTCAGTGTCTCTCTCTTGTCAAATTAAAATAAATGAATGAATAAATAAAATTAAAAATAAATAATTCTTTATTAAAAAAAAGAGAGAATATGTATAGTAATCAGACACAGCACCCATAGGAAACTAACATCCCCCCAAGAGAAAAAAAAATCTCCCTCAGACCAGAAATCAAGCTCAACTCATTAGCCGGCACCTGTGGTGTCAAAAGCACATTATGGTGCCAGACGCCAGCGAGACTGCAGCTCAGGGTGCACAGAGGAAGTTGCCCCCAGTGCACACCAGGGCATCCTGTCAGAAGCCGGTGTGTTTTCAAGACAACTGAGCAAGAAGCCTGGCTCTCTGAGGACTCAGGTGTCTGGGAGGACACTCCTTGTTCCATGTCTGCATTAGGAGCTTTGACTACCAGTCTGCATGAGGACAGCTCCCACTCGCTTCCCAGGATGGGCCTGCATACTCTTCTGAGGCTCCTCACTCCAGAACAACAGTGTACCCCGCCCAACTGCCTGGGAACCCGGGAAAACTGAGGCAGGAAAAAGCTAGCAAATGGAAGCTGTTAAGGGGCTGGGGTGTCTGTCCATATGGCTAGATAGAAAAACCTATCAGGGCAAAACTTCCCTGCCCAAGGTATCATAAGCAGGAGATTGGTCGGGGGGTGTCTAACTGATTAAGCCACATTTGAATAGCCAATGAAATAAATCAGTGGGCCATTTGATAGAGTCATGAGATGAGGACAATCAGCTGGCTCAGCCAATGATCAACTGACATGACCTAGATTAAAAAATTATAAATCTTGCAGAATGTAAATGTTGGGGCCTTTGAGCCGCTCCTTCTCTGTCTGCTTAGGCCCACTCCTACCTCTCAGGAGTGCACTGTCACTTTTACTTGATAAACTACCTTTTCCTTTTGCTATTTGTTCAGTTCTTCGTCCGAAATACCAAGAACCCAGATATCATCACAGGAGTCATCCCACAACAAAACGAAAGGCTGCCTTCACTGCAGGAAACCTCCCAAGGTGCTTTCTAGTTTTTCATTTATCGTAACCCCTCTGCACGTTAGCAGCCTGCGTGCTGGCGCGGTATGCATTAACTCTCATTAACTTCGGTGTGCCGCATCACTGCTCCCTGGCCCCACTTCACAGATGGAGAGATGGCAGGCACAGAGGAGCCGAGTGATGTCATTGGAAATAGCCAGGCTCTGCAGAAATAATAATTAATGTGGTTTACTCTAAGCACAAGATTGAGTGACCAGGTCCAGAGAAAGATAAAGGTGTTTCTCCGGTGCTGAGATACTGCAGTTCCTTGCATGGTTTTAAGAGCAGGAGAGCTGTCAATCAGAAAAGCACAAGTCTCAGGCCAGCCAGGTGACATGATGGTTAAGGCAGCTGGATCCCACATGGCCAACTCTGCAGTTCAAGTCCCGAACTCAGAGGCTTAAGGAAGCACACGCTCAAAGTCCCAAGAGGAGAATGGAACAGAAGGGACTGAGGCATAACCATCGGTGATTCCCCTCCCTCTGGCAAGTGCTTGCACCCTATAGCAAAAACTAAATGTTATAGTCTGATCAGCGAGAAGTATGACATCTAGACATAACCAATTACAATGGCGCCTTTTATTGAACCAGCAGCTATGAAGGGGACTAGTGTCCACAAAAACTTCGCAGCGCCAAGTGAGGGTAGAGGGCTGCTTATAAAGGCAAAAATCACATTCTTTTCTGGGTTGATGTGGCGATTACAAAAATTAAGCGCTATGGGCAAGAAAGGGTAAGGGATGGGGGTTACAAGGCAGAAGCAGTTTACAGAAATGAAATAAGCAGGTTAATTATTCCTAAGAGTATGTTCCATCCCTACCTAAACACAATGGAATCTTGATGGCTTTTATAACTCAGGGCAAATGGGTCTGGCAACTGTTGGTCATATTTCCATGGACCATCTCAAGGTGTGGAGGCTCTGGGCAGGGGTAATGGAATTTTAATTCTCTCAGGAAGAAGGACAAGGATTTCAATGTTTTACTAGAAAACCAAGATGGAGGTGCATCAGAAGATGGAGGCACTTCTGCTTCACGGGGAAAAAAAAGAAAAAGAAAAACACAAGTCTCTATTCCTGAAAGAAATCAGCAAAAGAATGTGTGTTTTCTATTCTAAGAGACAAGAAGGCTCACTATCCATCATAAAAACGCTAAGCCTGGGAGAGGAGTAGCATCCCGCTATGAATGTGTCATCAGTCCAAAGCAGCCTGTTAATGTCCCCAGGCCTCTGTTAATGTTCACAGGTGGGACTTTCCAAGGCCCCCTGGAAACAATTTTGGAATAGGAAAAAGCATCAGAATTCTGTCCTCATAGGTTATAGGTGACTTTAGAAATTCTTAGGTTAGGGACCAGCAGCTAGCATAATGGCTATGTCACTAGACTCCCATGTAGTCGACGGCGGTTCAAGTCCTGGACCCAATGGCTTAAACTCATGCCGGGTGCATGTGTGTGCATGCCCAAGATCCTGAGAAGAGAAAGAAGGAGAAGGGATTGTGGCATCTCCCCTGGGGGGGGGGGTGATTTCTCGCTTTCTGTCTCTCTTTCTCTCTCTCTCTCTCTTTCTGTCTAGTGAGTGCCCTACAGCAAAAACCTCTCTGAAATTCTTAGGTTGGTGACTGGGGAAAAAGCACAAGTCTCTGTTCCTGAAAGAAATCAGCAATTGCCACCAGGCACATGTACTTGTGTGCCCCAAATCCTGAGAGGAATGCAGGGATTGCAGCTTGGCCATCCCCACTAGGGGCTGATTTCTCATTTTTCCTCTCTCTCTCTATGTCTCTGATAAGCGTATATGCCCTATAACAAAACTAAAGAGAAAGAAAAAAAAAACACATGCAGGGCACATGTGTGTGCGTGCCCCAAATCCTGAGAGAATGAAGGAGAAAGGATTGGGCTGTGGTAATCACCCCCACACACACACTCCCTGCCTTCTCACTTTCCCCCTCTGTCTCCAGTGAGTGTCATGTGTCCTAGAGGGAAAAAAAAGGAAACAAACAAACAAACAAAAAGCCTAGGCTTCACTCTAACAGAGATAGGAAGGCTTACTCTGCGTTATAAAAACACTATGCCAGGGACAGGATGCAGACGGTGTCCCATTGGTCTGTTGATGTTTGTAGGGGCGAGTCCCTCAGGCCTTTGGAAAAGGAGTCTGGAATGAGAGAAAGTAGTCAGACTTTGGCCTCAGTGACTTGTCTGATGTCACCCCGCTCCCAGGAGCAGAGCTAGGATTTAAACCCAGCCATGCACTTCCCATGGTCTCTTGACAGTCCCTCCCATGGAGTTGCCCTTGCCTTGCCCAGATGTTTCTTCCTACAATGGAACAGCAGGTCCCTCGGTCCAGAGTTCCCACTCTTGGGTGGGCCTGACAGCAGCACTTGGCTTTCTGGGACCTCTGGAGGGCTGTCTGGGTGGTAGATCTGGGCCCCTTCTGCCAGCCACCTCACGCCAATTCAGCCTGTTAGCCAACACCCCCCCGACACACACACGACACACACACATGCACACACATGCACACACACATGCACACACACGCACACACGCATGCACACACATGCGCGCGCACACACACTGCATGGGATCCGTCCAATCAGAGAGAGTCTTGAGTTCTGCAGGTGCCCTCACAGGACCCAGCTGGAGCAGAGCCGGGAGGTTGTCCAAACTGGGGGTGGGTAGTTTTTGGCTCTTGGAGTGGGACTGGTCCTAAGGAAGAACCCCCTCTGGTGATTTTGCCCAAACCCTCCCTTTCCTCCAGGCACCATGACACCCCACTCCTCACATTATCACAATGTCTCCTTCACTACGCCCCCTCCCTTCACATGCAGAAGGGCCTGACCCCTCACTGACACTTCCCAGCTAAAAGGGAAGGCTACTCGCTCCTTGGAAAGGTTCTTTAAACTCCCATCCCCCAATGTCCCCTCTTCCTTGGTGGCACTTGTCACCCTCCCCCATCCCGTGCCTGTCTGCTCTGTGAGAATAACTTGCAGGGCACAGATCTGCTGTTTTTTTTTTTTTTTTTTTTTTTTTTAAGTGTTTATCTTCAGTGCTACACAGGCCCAGCCAGTAGTAGGTGCTGTCACTTCGTCGGAGGAAGGACAGCCTCAGGAGGTGACTCCCTCTCACCTAAGCCCTTGACCAGAGGTCCCAGCCTCCTCTTGTCCACTTGAGAGCTGGCCCTACTTCACCATCAGCCTTGGCAGCAGGGTTGTAGGGGCGGGGTGGGAGAGTGAGGGTGCACCCCTCCTACCTGAGGTGAGGGTGCCTGGGAGGAGGATGCCACTAGCCTCACCCCAGGGCTTCCAGGGCCACCGGCTTCTAGCCTGTCCCTCCTAGCCCCACCTCCTCACCTCACTGGCACCTACGGGGCTGTGGGGGATGGGGGTGAACAGGGAGCAGGCTGCCTCAGCAAGCTGGAGGCGCAGTGGGCAGGGAGGGGCTGGGGAGGGAGCAAGTGGCCCTGTGACCAAAGCCGGACTGGTCCATGCAGCCTGTCCCAGACCAGGAACAAGGAACACCAGGTCACAAAACAAGAGTAGGGGTCCAAGAAATTGGGAGAGCAACGCTGATTCGGTGTTCAAGCTGTGAGCCCTGGGAACATGTACATAGGCTGTACCACATGACCCCACAAAGGTTAGGGGATCCCAGCTGAGAGGGGGTGAGGGTGGGGAATGAAAGTGCAGGGGGGGGAGCAGCTGAGGCTGGACTGGTCAGTGGACGTCACTTGCCACCCTTTCCTTAAATCCCAGTCTTTGGGCTTACTTCAACCACGTCCTGGGACTACCTCCAGATTCCAGTCGCAGAGAGGCAGGGAGGGAGCCTGAACAGGCCCAGGCCAGGCCCAGAGCCCTGGGCTCGTGATTCACCCCAGGAAAGGCCGCGTGGGAATTATGGACACATTTTGCGCAGCACTGGGGGACACACTGTGCCTGCTACGATCCCTCCACAAGCCGCACCCAGCCTCTGGTAGCGCCCCTGGCCCTTCTCTTCGCCGCAGTTCTGCAACCCCCAGCCCCTGACTTCGGGGACACCTACAGCGTCCAGGCCGCGTCCTAGTGGACAAGCAGACCCCAACCCTACCCTCATCGGCACAACTCGCACACCCATCTAGGAAGCGCTTAACTTTCGGATCCAGCGGCCGGCAGACTTTCGCTCGCTCGCCCAGTCTCCGCCCCGGGCGCTCACGGGCGGGAGAGGGGACTGGCCGGGGGCGGGGCTAGGAGGCGACCAGGCGGCCCCAGACAGCCCGGTGCAGTGCTCAGAGCCACAGAGGCGCGGCGCGAGAGCAGCTGGGACTCATCTCCCGCGTCCCAAGGTCCCCGAGCCCCGAGGTCTTTGGCTGTCCAATGTCCAAGTGCGTCGCCCGAGGTCTCCAGCGGCCGGAGGTCCCTGTCCCCGCCATGCGGCTGAGAAGGTGAGCCGACCTGCGGATGGGCCCTGCGGGACGGGGAGGAGCGGTGGCACAAGTCTCCAGCAAAGTGTCCCTGCCCAAGCAGTGCCGGAATGACCGATCGATGGCTGCGGCCCGGGACGTGCGTGTCCTCGGTTCGCTCGGCTCCGACGCGGAGCTCACCGGCCTCACCCGGAGGCGCAGTGGCGGGGGCAGCGCGGGCGGGCGCAGGGGGGGGGGGGGGTGCTGTACCGGGAGGGGAAGGGGTGCTGCTGGGAGGATAGAACGCCACCTCGCACATCCACTCCGGCCCGCTGATTTCCCGGAAGGTAGGAGGAAGGACAGGACCAGACGGCGCTGCCACAAGGGCAGCCGGTGCCCACCGTCGGTGGCACGCCCTCTGCCAAACAGCGGGTCTCACCTACCTCTCCGCAGGCAGCCGGAGCAGGGGTGATGGCTTTGCTGGCTTTCTGCCAAGATGCCCCCTTGAGGCGCCTCTGATGGGGGTGGGTATTCTGTGTCCCCTTAGTGAACTAGTGAGGCACCTTGTCCCTAGGTGTCACACCCACATAGAGTCTGCAGTACCTGGGTCACGCCATCCAGGGCCCCCTAGTTAGAAATGTATGTAGTTAAGATCGTTTCCTCATGAGAGAAAATTTAGTCAGGAAGTCATGACTGTCAGCCAGCCCACACCCAGACCGGAGGAAGGTGAGCTTGGGCTAGGTCTCAGGGCAGGATCTTGTGAGGGGAGGGTCAGGTGGGGGGCCAGAAGAGAGGTCAGGACACCACCAGGGAGGGGCAGCCTGGGCTCCTCTGCAAGAGCCCCAAGAGAGCACCAGCCCCTAAAAGCCCCTGACAGGTGGGCTTCATGAGCCTTGTGGACATGGGTGCCATAGAGAGAAACAGGGGCCCTGGCTGGGGTTCCACAGCTTTGTCATTTAGAAGCTTACCCTGACTCTGAGGGGGATGGCTGAAGAGGTCAAGACCAGAGTCAGGGAGGCCAGGAAATTGTCACAGCCATTCCCAAAGCAAGAACAGTGGCCCCAGCAGGGAGAGTGGGACAGAGAGGACAGGACTGTCCTCGGGCTCCAGGAATTGTTGGTGGCCAGGTCAGACTTGGGTGTGTGCAGGACCACAGGACTCACCTCCACGCAGCCTCAGAGGAGTGTCCAGTGTGAGATTGGAGGTCTCACGGCTGGCTGGGAAGTTTTCGTGGTTAGGGTCTTCCAGATAAAGGTGCGGGGCCATCAAAAAGGACGGGCCCAAAGGTCCTGCTCCAGGGGGCTCGGATCTCATGGGGAGCTGGCCTCGAAACTGATTTTGTGGGCGAGTTGGGGCTGTGGTCGAAGTGACATAGGACACTGTGGAGCAAAGAAAAGGGCCTCCCTGCCCAGCCAGAGGCTCCCTGGAGGCCTGCAGGAGGAGGTGGCTAGGCTAAGGCATGCAGCGTGCAGAGGCTCCCAGGCTAAAGATGCTGGGAGCCAGGATGAAAGTGCTCCTCCACAGGGTCATCTGTGACTCACCCGAGCCTGCAGCGTTCACACGATGTGCCTGCTCTTCCCTAAGCCAATCTCCCTAGGAGCTAGGCCACCAGGGGCAAAGGCCGCAGCGTTGGCTCTTCTACCCTTTGCCATCACCCTCTTTGGTGTTCAGGGTGTTTTGTATCAGGAGCTAGCAGGTTGCCAGGCTGTGGCCCTTCAGACCTATGTGCTGGACAGGGAGTGAGTGGGCCCAGTTCCTGTCCCCTGAGTCACATGGAGACCACTACCTGCTGCCTTCTGGTACGCTGGCATTTCTGGGATGGGCGTGATTGCCTCCTGCAATGGGAACCAGCCCCTCCTGTTTAGAAGAGGCAGGTAACACCTGCGCTGTCTCACCTGCCTTTCTGGTTGTTTTCTCCCCAGTGCTGGACTGCTCCTCTTCATGCTTGGCAGCCTGCGAGCTGGTAAGTTCAGAAGGCACATTACCCTGGGGTGTGCTCTCCCAGCTCAGGGCAGCTTCTGAGGCCTTTTGCTGCAGAGTTTGGGGACCACCAGGCATACCAGTGCTAAGAGTGTCCTTTCCACAGCCCCCCGGGTATTTGAGGCTCCCCTGTGAGAAAGCTGCACCCCTAAGCCAATAAAGGCAGTAACAAGAATGACTTTTCCAAATGATATAGTTCTTGTTCTGTTTCGTGTTTGGTGTAATCAAATGTAACTCGTCAGATCTGGGGTCTTCATGAATATCCTGGTCTCTGTACCCCAATTAGGCCTGTTGAGTCCTAAAAGCCACCCATTTCCAGAAGAGCCAGGTACAGGGACATGCACCACAGCAGAGACCTGAGGCCCTGACAAGCCTTCCCATCCAGAGGTTGTTGGGGTCAGGGGACATGGCCACTTCTCCCAGAAGCACTTACATGATCGTACAAATGGTCAAACCATCCTGTAGCCATTATGTGATCTCTTCTGAGTGTGAATAGCATTGTAACATTGCTAAGAAAGGGTTTTCCTTCAAATGTTGGAATTTATAAACACTTTTTATTTTTCATTAATTATCGACTCCTAAGAAATAGCAGAATCAGTGCAGAGCAGCCAGGTCCCCGTCCCCAGCCTCTCCCAAGGGCAGTCTTTCACTGAAGGTAGTATGTTGTCAAAGCCAGGAAACTGACATGGGGCAAGACGATGAAATAGCTTACCTTCACATGTCTGGTTTTTTAAAGTATTATGCACTCCTAGTTTTTTGTTTGTGTGTGTGTGTGTGTGTGTGTGTGTGTGTGCGTGTGTGTTTAGATTTTTGCCATAGGTTGCATGCACTCCCCAGAGAGAGACAGAAAGAGAAGATAAGTGAAAAATCCCTCTCCAGGGTGGATGGCCATGCCTCAGTCCCTTCTCTTCCATTCTCCTCTTGGGATTTTGGGCACGCGTGCACATTCGCCTGGCGTGTTTTATGAGCAGTTGTGTTTGAAACTCAAACTGTGGACAGCCATGTGGGATCCAGCACCTTAACTTCATGCTGCCTGCTGACCTCCTTTGTATATTTCATTAATAAGTTCCTCTTCTGCCCACCTGAGTCAGAAGTGATTTTTGAGCCTTGCCCCCCAAAAGTCAACCCTCCAGAGCAACCTTATGGGCTAGGAGTCAACTTCGGAAAATACATTCTTTGCTTTTTGGGTCACTGCAGATTTTCAAGAACAAGAAGTCAGAGCCCTGGTGGGCAGCAACATTGAACTCAGCTGTGTTCACCCCAAAGACAGCAGTTTCGACTTAAATGACCTTTATGTATACTGGCAACTTTTTGGGTCGGAAACTGTGGTGGCCTACTACCTCCCTGAGAACAGCTCCACGGGCCACACGGATGACCACTACAGGGACCGGGCCCAGCTCTCACTGGACAGCATGAAGCAGGGCAACTTCTCCCTGCGTCTGTACAATGTCACTCCCCAGGACGAGCAGAAGTTTCACTGCCTGGTGTTCAGGGAATCCCTGGAATTACAGAAGGTTTTGGACGTTGTGGTCAGGCTGCACGTGGCAGGTAAGACTGTCAAAGCCAAGGGTACTGATTTCGTCCTGGAAACAGTACTATGAAAGCTCCTTTCTGGGTTCATTTTTCAGTCTTTTCCTGTGAAGACAATCCTAATCTCTGTGAGAGGTCTTCTGTGTAACCGGTTGTACGTGAAGCTGATGGACTGAGAATGATTCAGCCTAGGAGAAAGTTTTCCAGACCCTAAAGCTGCCTGTTTTCAGAACTTTACGCCTTTGCCTTGAACTTTCTAACTCAATACAAACTAGATTTTTAAAAAACGGAATTGTGGGGCTGGCAGGTGGTGTGGTGGTTAAGGGTGCTAGACTCCCACATGGCTGACCATGGATCGAATCTCGGACCCAGCAGCTTGCTTTCTCACTTTCTCTCTCTCACTCTCTCTGGTCAAATTAAAATAAATAAATAAAGTTTAAAAATACTCTTTAGAAAAAAAAAAAAAAACAGAATTGGGAGGGAGTACTGTTGAGTGCTAAATGAGATCAGAATTTAGGGAAACCGTGAAGGTGACAAACGCTGTGCCCCTTTTAGATGAGCTGTGAGTTGCCCACGTCTCCAGTGAGAAGGACTAGAGCCAGTTGCCGTGGCGTGGAGCCTGTGGTGCCAGTCGCTGTCCATGGCCTCAGGAGGTCTCACTGGTGGGGTGGGGGGTGACTCTAGAGCCACCTGCTCAGAGAGTCAGGCCTGGTCCTGACTCTCCACCATGTCAGGGGCATGACAGGTCACCTCCCTCTAACCTGGCCCTTGCCTCTGTTTGTCCATCTGCTTCTTTTCTTTTTTTTGGTAGGGGTTTTTGCCTTAGGGCACATGTGTTCCCCCAGAGAGACAGTGAGAGGGACAGTGAGAAATCACCCCCTGGGGGGATGGCCATACTGCAATCTCTTCTTCACTTTCCTTCTGGGATCTTGGGCGTGTAGGCACATGTGCCCAGAGTGAGTTTCAAACCACTGGGTCTAGAACTTGAATCACGGTCAGCCATGTGGGAGTCCAGCAGTGTAACCGCTACACCATCTGCTGGTCCTGTCCCTCCTGCTCCTTGGCTACAGAAGTCTGACCTCTCTCACAGCCTGACTTCTCTCACAGCCTGTTTCTCCCTCCCCTATAGCAAACTACAGCATGCCTGTGGTCAGCACCCCCAGCAGCCCCTCCCAGGACGAGGAGCTCACCTTCACCTGCACCTCCACAAATGGCTATCCAAGACCAAACGTGTACTGGATCAATAAGACAGACAACAGCCTGCTGGATAAGGCTCTGCAAAACAACACCATCACCTTGAACCCGCAGGGCTTGTACGACGTGGTCAGCATCCTGAAGCTCAGGCGGAGCCCCAATGTCAACGTCGGATGCTGCATAGAGAACGTGCTTCTGCACCAGAACCTGACCGTCAGCAGCCAGACGGGTAAGACTCCCCAGGGCCCGCATGCTGACCTGCCTCAAGATGGTGGAGCTGGTGGTGACTTAGGAGAATGCTCAGGCAAAAGACATAGCTCTACCAGGTGACTCTGCAGCGGTGTCAGAAAGGTGGTTGATAGGAGGCAGAGTTAGGCACAGGTTGGTTTCCGAGGACTGAGCCGGGCTCTGTGCACAGGGCGCAGTGCTCAGCTGAGTCTCCACTTATGGCATCCGTTCTTTGAGCCCATTTACAGATGAGGGACTGAGGCTCTGAACGGGTGTGACATTTCAGAGGACCACACCTACGCAGCTCTCACCATGCTCGTCTCTGGACTTGTGCCCTGGAAAAGATCGGAGCCCTCACACCAGGGAATTTAGTGGGCCTGGCTGCTGGCCCAGGTTCTGCCTGGAAAGGGGTGCTGGTGGAGACTCCTTCATGGAGGCCATGGGCTCTCTAACCTGTGTCTGGGAGGTGGAGGTGGAGGTACTCGAGAGGGGCGTTGCAGGCCCTGCCGCTGCTGAAACCCAACATGAGACTTCCCTGGCCCTGTGCACAGTGGAAACAGGGCTCCTTCTCCAGAAAGTGTTAAGAATTCAAGATGGGGGAACCAGCAGTTAGCATAATGGCTATGTCGCTGGACTCCCATGTAGTCGACCGTGGTTCGCGTCCTGGACCCGGGGGCTTAAAACTCACGCCGGGCGCGTGTGTGTGCGTGCCCAAGATCCCGAGAGGAGAATGGAGAAGGGACTGCGGCGTGACCATCCCCCCTGGGGGGTGATTTCTCACTTTCTGTCTCTATGTCTCTCTCTGTCTGGTGAATGCACACGCCCTGTAGTGAAAACCTCTCCAAAAAATAAAAAGAATTCAGGACAGAACAGCAGAGCACAGCACCAAGTGTGGCCCCTCTGAGCTCAGTGTGCACACCCACAAAGCAGGCCCTGACCACCATGGTGCCCCACAAGGGCCAGACAGCCGCTTCCTGAAGTCAGGGAACAGCGC